GGGTGCGAGGCACCGGCCTCGCCAGGAGCCGTACCCAGTCCGAGCCGATCCGCAGGTGAATTCCCACGTAGGGCCTGACCAGCAGAGACTGAATACAGGCTTCTCCCTTCCTCACCATCTCATCGGACCACACCATGTACTTGTGGAGGGGCCGGTGCTCCTCTAGGACCGGAAACTGGGCCGGAGCTCCAGGTAAGGCGACTACAGGGTGCTCAGATGGTGAAAATCTACGGAAAACAACCCAGCAGACCAAAACATACGATCACCTTGCGTGCAGCATCCTGCACAAAGCCTGCTGCGCGTGAGTGTCGTGACGGTCAGAACGGAAACCGTGAACACCCTGACACGCGCAGCAGCCGCCGCTCCAGATTCACCCGAGGAACCGTAGCCGTTTTGCCACGTGAACAGAGCCCTGAAGCAGAGCTCGGGTACTGCGTTTTACCTCAGACCGGGCAACAACCGAGCTCGGATCGCTCGACAGGCGGCAGAGTCTCGCCCGCACAGCAACGAGCGCTCACGCCTTCACCCCAGACTGGAGCCATTCTGTCACCCAGGCTCACCGACGTGACTAACGCCGCTCACAGCTCTGAAAACATGAGGCAGCCAGCGAAACAGAGCTCACGATCAGCGACTGAGAACCACGCTCTTTTGAAGATTAATTACATGCGTAGCCAGTAAATACTGCAGCTAAGTATTACTGGCTCAGAAACCCATCAGTCTGACAGAGCTCACACCTCATACTGCCCACGGGAAGAGCACGCTCAGTGAATATTTAATGGAAAAGCATTCAGATTTTTAGTTCCATTGCTACCTAACCGCTGCAGTCTCTCCCCCAGACTGCAAAGGCTTTACACAGCGACCAGCACAACTCTTCTCGTGAGTCACTCTAAACGCAGCACGCCAGCACTCTTCCGCCGTCTCGCTACCTTTGGATCCAGTGGTCCTTGTACGCAGGACTGAAGGAAATTCCCTTGAAGAGCTCAGACCTATCGAAATCCACCTGGAACTGATCCCAGAAGGGACCAAACGGGTTTCCATCCTGTAAAGGAAAGGCAAGCGTTCACCGGGTGCGTACGCAGAGCCTGGAGGGCAGACCGAGATGCCGGGGTGCCAAGAGGAAGCGTTTTCCTGTCCCAGGAGGAAAGGGGAGGGAGTACAACAGCCTGGTCACCACGGGTCAGCCCCACAGGAAGGAGAGAGGGAAACACATCCAAGAAAGTTAACTGAGAACTGATGCAAAGAGAGAGAACAAGAACGCCACAGCTCTCAACTGTATCTGAAAGAGGTTGCTTTAAACCCAGCTGGACAACTACACCCTGGATGCAAAACGGGCAGCGACCAGTGGGCTTTGTTGCTACAGATCCGTTCTCCTTATGGCCACGACCAAGGCTGACGTGATAAAACCCGCTCACACAAACCATCCTCCCGACGCCCGGGGATCTGCGGACAACGAACAGCACGAAGGCGCAGCAAGGCACGCAGGGGCGCGGCGGCAGGAAGGCCGCCAAGAGGAACGCCGTGCGGAGGGACATGGGGTGGGCAGCTCTGAGGTCTGCAGATCAGCAGCGCCCCGAATGAG